GTTTTCTTTGTATAATCTTTATTTATTGATACTTTATTTTCTAACTATATATTTGTATATAAACAAATATATGTATATATATATATATGTATATATATATATATATATAGGTATATATATATGTATATATGTATATATATATATATATATTTGTTTTGTTTGTTTTAATTTACCTTTAAAGATATTTCATTTCATAATATATATAATTAATATAAATAAATGAATATATAAATAAATAATAAATAAATAAATAAATAATAAATAAATATATATATATTTAAATATATATTTGTTTATTTATTTGCATTTGTTTGTTTATGCGAACAGTTATTCTCTCGTTGTCTGGTTGACGTGCGCTCAACAATGTCAGCAAAGAAACTGTCTCTTCCTGTAGGCAGCGAGAGACAGGGTAAGATAGCAGACTCAGGTGTACTGACAGCTCAAGTAGCTACGCTTTGTCAAGCAATTGAAGATACTTTTCTTCAGATGGATGTTCAAATGCAAACTGCTGAAAACAGACAAGCTCTTCTTAAGCTATTTAAAGATGTACGCTCTATGCTGATTATGCTGCTGCTGATTCTGCTGCTGCTGATTGTGGTGCTGCTGCTTCTGCTGGTGCTGCTGCTGATTGTGGTGCTGCTGCTTCTGCTGGTGCTGCTGCTGATTGTGGTGCTGCTGCTGTTGCTGTTGCTGCTGCGGGTGCTGCTGGTGGTGCTGCTGCTGCTGTTGCTACTGCTGCTGCTGCTGTTTTTGTTTCTGCTGCTGTGGTAGCTGCATAATGCGTATCGTTACCGTTTTTGCTGCTGCTGCTGCTGCTGTTATTGCTGTTGTTGTCTCTCTGTGTTTTATTGTAATTGAGTTAATTTTAATATATTTTATTTATTTTATTTTATTTGTTTAGGGACAGAAAGAACAAAAAGGAGCAGAGACATATTTAGATTGGTTTCTAAAGAACGGGGGAGACGCCAGAGTCGTTGACTTAGATGGACAGAGATATATTCAGGTGCCTGCTGCTGCTGCTGCTGCTGCTTCTGCTGCTGTTGCTGCTGCTGCTGGTGCTGCCGCTGGTGTTGCTGATGCCGCCTCTGGTGCTGCTGCTGCTGCTTCGGCTGCTGCTGCTGCTTCTGGTGCTGCCGCTGGTGTTGCTGCTGTTGCTTCTGGTGCTGCTGCTGATGTTGCTGCTGCTGCGGTGGTTTGGTGGCGGTGGTGCTGCTGCTGCCGCTGTGATGCAGCAGCCGCAGCAGCAGCAGCAGCAGCAGCAGCAGCAGTAGCAGTAGCAGAAGCAGCATCCGGTGTTTATTGTTGTTTTGATGTATATAATAGTAACATTAATAAGACGTAATAATAATAAATAATAATAATTACGCTGCTGGTTGTATATTGTTTGGGGTGTATGCGCAGCTGTCTGTAGGCAGCCAGGAAGAAGGGGAGGGTAAGGAGACAGATAAAGAGACAGATAAAGAGACAGAGAAGGAGACAGATAAAGAGACAGCAAAAGATTCGGAGACAAATGGAGACAGAGACAGAGAAGCAGATACAGATGCAGTTGCTTCAGGTGCGTCTCTCTACTTCTCTTCTTACTTCTCTATTCTTTATTTGTTTGCCTTTGCACTCGTCTGTTTATTTGTTCTAGGGTTTAGTGTTTAGGGTTTAGGGTTTAGGGTTTAGGGTTTAGGGTTTAGGGATGAGGAGGAGTACAGGGCCATTATGTCTTTCTCTTGCTGCTGCTGCTGCTGCTGCTGCTGCTGCTGCTGTTTGTGTTTGTATATTGTTGCAGACTCTGAAGCAGCAGCAAAGGAGACAGGAGAAGCAGAGAAGAGACAGTTAGCAGAGGGGTCTCGGATACCCGCATTGGGGCGTCTAGACAGCACAGCTAACCTGGGAGCAAAGCAGCAGCAGCAGCAGCAGCAGCAGAAGCAGCAGAAGCAGCAGCAGCAGAAGCAGAAAGCAGCAGCAGGAGATGATGAGTCGCCTCCATCCAGCGAGCATGAAAGCGAAGACAACGATAGCAGCAGCCCGAGAACAAGCAGCACTGCAAGCAGCAGCAGCAGCAGCAGCAGCAGTGTACGGAGCAGAAGCAACGACAGCAGCAACAGCAGCAGCAGCAGCTCTCCATCAGCGAAGGAGCAGCTTTCAAGCCCTTCTGCTGCAGCAGGTAGCAGCAAAAAAGAAAGAAATAAAGACAGCAGCAGCAGCAGCAGCAGCAGCAGCAAAGAAGTAGAAGATACAGAAGCAGATGAAGAGACAGGAGAAGGAAGCTCTACATTATCAGAGTGTAATTATATGTCTCCAGCAGCAGCAGCAGCAGCAGCAGGAGCAGGAGGAGGAGCAGGCGAAGATGATGATGATGTAGATGAAGAAGCAGCAGCAGCAGCAGCAGCAGCAGAAGGGCAGCAGCGCTTAGAGCATCCTCATCCTTCTTCTCCTGAAGGGGCTGGGACAACAGCTGTTGTTGTTATTGTCGTCAGAGCAGCTAATCCTGTTTTAATTATTGCTAACGCAGGAGACTCACGAGGGGTTATCTGCAGAGGGGGAGTG